CGTACAATCATTTTTCTGCTTCCTTTCGCTTGTGATCAGAACCAAAATAGAAAAATTCGATGACTACTACGATTGTCAGAATTAACGTTCATTGCATTTATAACTAAGCAAACTAGATGGTATTCGAGTTTCGACTCGAATACGAAATGCGGTGCGAAGCACGAATTTCTCGAATTTTCGAAAAGAGGAATTTCGAATTGAAAGGAATTTATAAAAAAAAATGCTAAAAACAAATCTCTGTTGATATTTTATTGAAGAGATAATTGAAATAATAAAAGTAAAATGGCTATTTTAGTTTTTATTGTTCAAAATAAAAAAAAAAAAAAAAACTTGCTCATATCAATTTAAATAAAGATAATCTGTTCGGTTTTAGTTAAAGGTAACTAGTATTTCTATAGATAGATTTAAATTCTTGGGAGAAGATTTCAAATCGATTGTTTATTAAGTAATCCAGATCGATTATAATAATAATATAATCAGAAATCTTTCTCTAACTTTAATTTAAATTGTTAAACCAATCAGTCTTTATTGGTCGTTATCAATATAACATAAATCAATAATTCAAAAATCAATTTATTTCGTCAGTATTTTTCGATTATATATAATTATCTATTTGAAAACTTCTTTAATATTATTATCATAAAAAAACGTTTTTTTTTAAGGAGTTTTGTTAATTTCAAGTTTCAATTATAAATCTCAATGTTATCTAATATGATATAAACATTCAGGAATTCTTATAAAATATTAAAACAATTGTCATATTTTTCATTTATAATAATAAAATGTAGTTTTCTGCAATGTTTTTAAATTCTTTCCGGATGATTTACTTTTGTTTAGTTAAAAACTTGACCTATTCTATAAAGGAAGTCACTTTTCACAAAACAAGTAATAAATTTTTTATTAAAATATTTTTCAAAATGTTTCTTATCTCTATATGCTTTAATTAATCAAATACTCGAAAATAGTTTTTGAAAACTAGAATTTTTTTTATGAAAACTTGCTAAGATTTGTCATTTGTATAATAAAAAGAAAAAATGTTTGAAAATTATCTACTATAGTTAAACGTTAATTGAATTTATATTTGCAAATGAGAAGTAGATAATAGATATATATTATGAAATTTATCCCAATAAATTTAACTCGAAATAATTATTATTATAATAAAGATTTTTTTGCATTTTAACAAAACAATATTGACTATGATTGAATTATGTTTTTTTGATAAATATACAACGGGCAATTGAATTATAGGAAAAATTGATTCGATTTACTGATATATAAATGAAAAATGATAGTTTTTGAAAGTAAGAATCATTTATTAAAATAATAAATAAATAATAAATATATATAATATTTAAACGATTTCACTAGTCATCAATTGAAATCAAAACTAATATATCTGTATTCGAACATATATTTAGTATTTTCATTGAAATATTATTTTTAATTTCGAGAAAATTCTAAGAGAAAATCTGTATGAAAGAAAAAAAATCGACTCTGTTTTAAGAAGATCATTTGAAACGAACCAATAGAAATCTTCCTTTAGTTTTCTTTGTTAAAAATACTTTCATTTATCATATATTAAATGATTCAGTAATTATTCGTCATCATTATTTTTTTCTAAATTTAATTGAAACAAGACGTTGATTTAATTCAATAATACTCTTTTTATTTGTTAATTACACGAAAAACGATATTAAATTTTGGTGAATACTTTATCTTTGTTTTCTTTAAAATATTTAAGAATATTATGGAAGCATTTTCTATTTCAATTAGAACAATATCAAATAACAAATATTGTTAAACATGAATAAATGAACGTTTAACTTTTAAAGTAAAAAAAATATTTCCGTTAAAAAGAAAGAGCAACGAATATAAATCATGATAGTATATATATATATCGTGGTTATTTTGTTTTCGATTTGTTAATTAAAATAATATGTTTAATATTAGAGGTTTCTATTTAGTGTGTGTCTATCTATCAAGCCAATCTTTGTTGGTTTGACTAATATTATCAATTCAATTTAAAAAAAGAATGAACATTATTCATGATTTTTTTGTGTTTTTTCTTGTAGATGATGACTGCAATGAACTAAGTTAAACAAATACTTATTCATTCGTCGATTGAATCGATTTGCCAAAAAAAAGACGAACGAAAGACAAAAAACAAAACTAAATATACACCAATATAAACATGATGGAATTGTCCTTACAATAATATGTCAATGAACAAACACAGGCATGTATGTTATTGAAAAAGAAATTACAAATAAAAACAATTTCAAGTGTATTTTTCAATAGATTTTCATTTGTCTGATTTATTAATCTAAGTTTTTTTTGATTTAAATCAATGTCAATCATTGTTTTTTATTATTTTAGAAAAAAGAGAAAGCAAAATGTCAAATAATAACGATGAATCAGTTGAAATGTTACATTCAAAATTATCTCTTGATTTAAATATGAATATGGAAACATAGTTACACGCATGGCGTTGATATGAACATATTCGTAATTATTATGTGTTAGAAGGAGATCAATTACATTGGTTAGCTGTGTCATTATATGTATCATGTAGACGATATTCTCATATAACAACATATAATAATAATCCAATATAAATATTACGTTTATTAAAAAGTGGTAATCATTTAGAATTGTTTTTTTTCTTTTGATAAATTAGATAAATAGGAAGATATGACCAATTTACTTGATTCAATTCGATCAAAAATTGACCAAGTTGAGAATGCATTTAATATATTATCAAATACATTTGAAAAAATATACAAAAATATTGATTGATATATTTGGTGAAACTTAATATAAATTAATTTATTTCGATTATCAATATAAAAGAACATCAAATGAAATAAATCCTAAATTAAATACAAAAAAATTAATTAGATAAATGTTCACCTTAAGATTCATATTCATTTATTTCGACAATACATGTATTAACCAGAACAGTTTATCCATCAACTATAAATGATCTTATTGTTTCGTTTCATTTACGTATTCCTTCTTTTTTTATTTATGATTATGCTAAATTAGCGAAATTAGATTATTTAGTTAAAGATAAACATTTATTATAACAACGTTTTTATTTATATTCATTATATGTATATGTCATTTTAATCGACATTGTTTTGTCTCAGTTAACGATTAAGTATCATATGTACTTTTTTTTTCAATTTATTTTGTTTCTCACTTCTTATCAAATTAAGATTTCACAAGAGTTTTTTTTTTTTTTTATTTTATTTAAACTTAAAAAGTTTTATGTTTCTATATAAAACATACTTTATTTTAAAATACTTGTTAAAATTCTTTAATATAAAAATCGATTTTATTTAATATATTTAGATCATTTTTATTCGAAAAAAAACATTTGAGATAAATATGAGACATTCAATTTTATTTGCTCGATATAGATTTAAATTAAATTATATGTTTTATTTAGAGTTTTATAAATCTATTATTAAATAAAAACGGTTTCGAATGTTTATTTTCGAATATGTTTCGATCGTTTAGGAAAATTAAAAAAAAATTGGTTTTCTTAATATTATTATTAATCGATGAAAATGTAAATAATCGATATATGATTAACGATCATTTGAAATATTAATTGACAATTCAATCGTTCTCAATTCAAATCGTTTAAATGATTTATAGTCATAACTGTGAACAATCGATTTATCATCATTTGTAAGTGATGTAATTAAGAGTAGGATTTGCAACTAATGATTATATTCATATTTAAATATGTTGTCGATATATAGATTTAAAAATATATTAAATCTGATTATAATTATCATGAATGCGATGGTTTTGCATTTATAAAATGAGGACATGTTGATTGAATGTCTTATGGTGTTAAATTACATAAAGCAAGGAGCAATTTTTATAAACATTTTATATCACAATATTAATGAAGGAAAAAATGTTTCTTAAACTTTTTTTATTTAAATTAAATAAATTCTTTGTTTTTAGATATTGAACCATTATTTCCAACATATTTTACGTAAATAGAAGAAAAAAAAGATTGCGAACTCAATTGATTTAAATGATTTTACAAGAACGAGAAAATTTTACAATTTAGTATTATTTATCAAAATGAACGACGATTCAAAATTTATGGTAATTTGAATTTCTTATCAATCAATTTCCTTTTTTTATTTCAGTTCTATTACATGAATGTTTTACGTTGATAAATTATTTGTCAGATGATACTTCACAATATGGTATGAGATATTTATATCGTTGACAATTAACATAATGTTTTTTTAGATTCAATACACAATGCAATTAATGTGCTTTAAAAGGTTTTCATCTTTTTATTAAGAATTTTATTTTTAAAATTCTTTTTTTAAAAGAGTTCTTATAAAAACGTTGGTGAATATGAAAGAATTCAGATGAAATATAATTACGTTTATTTCAATATTGTTTAAATGGATATGATTTTTTTTATTCTTGTATTCACGATAATAAATATTGAATCTATATTATCAAAGATAAAACCATTTCAAAGACAACGAATAAGCGTGTTTATTATCGATTATGTAATATGTTTCGGTTGAAAATATTTGACTCTACTAGAATTAGTTTGTTTTCGTTATTAATGTATAGAGCAAGGTTGTGTTGATCAGCTGATAAAAGTCGAAAGCAAAATGAAAAGCGGGCATAGCAAAATTCAGGGCGCTGTGTATCAATATTTCCATTTTCTTTACGGTTAATTTTTGTTTTTTGTATTTATTTAATTCTAGTATGAATAGTATTGTTTCATTTTTTTTTTTCGAACTGAAAATTTAGAATACTATAGTTGTGCAGTTATAATATTCAATTCATTGATTGATTTAATTTTATTTAATACAATTAAGTTATCAATTTTATACATATAAAGTTTTAACACAATGTAGAAAAAGATTAAGTTTATGCTAATTGAATTAATGAAGTTGGTCGTTGTAAATATATTGATTTTGTATGAAGAGAAGATGTTGCATGATTTTCTATTTTTCTTTTAAAGCTTCACGAAACAAGTTAGTTCTAACACATAATAAAAAAAATTAAGAAATAAACAAAATAAAAAATTTGTTTTACATTGTTGATTGAAATAATGCATATGAATCTTTTTTTGGTTGGTGATCATTCGTCTTCTTTTTTGGAATTTTTTTTAATCTTCCAATACTATCAATATTACGTTGTATAATGGTGATATTGATAGCTTCAAAACCTCGTGATGCTATAAGTAAAAAGATAATTGAGTATTGTAACTATGTGTAATAGGTAAAATATAATTTACTTTTTTTATATCGAATTTACATTGATCAGAAATGAAAAATGTTTGTTTATGTTGATTTTTTTTTATTGAGACATCACGTGCAAATATATCTTGATGTAAATCGTTATCATTTCTAAATCAAAAATAAAAAAGGTTTTAGAAATTATTCAAATTAAAACGAACCTTTTAATAAATGCATAATGTTTTAATCTGTTAACAGTAACAACTGTACCGATTATATTTTTTTCTAAAGTAATGAGTAATAATATAAGTTAGTCTTTATATATGAAAAATGTATTACCAGTCATAATACAATTTGACGCCGATATATTTGTTGAAATGGATTCAGATGATGTTGAAGTTGATGTTGATATTGATGTTGATGCCGATGTTGATGTTGATGTTGATGTTGATGTTTCCATTTTATTTTAAAATTAAAAATGATCTAGTTTTTTTATATCTGAAATTGATATGATTAATTTTAATTATATTTTATTATTTTAGTTATTGTTTTATATATTTTAATATAATGTATTAAGTATAATTGAAAAAAAAAATACTGTGAAAAAAAGGTACTGTGATGATGAATGTTTAAATCGATGATCGATTAAGTTTTTTTGTAGTTGTATGTTTTCTTTTTCTACAAAATACAAACAATTAGTCATATTGATAAGTTAATTTGATAAGATTGTAAACGTACTTTGATTCTTACATTTTTAATTTGGTTTTGTAACTGCAAGTAATTCTTTACGTAATTCACTATATTCGAAAGTTAACTTGGTACTGGACATCATAGCAATTACGATATCTGTATCAAGCATGTTAATTGTTACACCAATTATAGCAAGTAGTTCACAAAGTGTTTGATCGTTAACGAATAAAATAATTTTTTCTTCTCCTAAATAAAGTTAAATTTTGATCATTCAAATATAGATTAAAAAATTTAAAAAAAGATACCTTTTTGTAGTACTATTGTAGTAGATACATGTAATGTAACATTGATTTTCAAAATATGTCGATGACATTTCTCACAAAATAATAATGCAGCAGCATTTTTAACTTCATTTAAATCACCTTGACATGTTGAACAATTGTATAATCGTCGAATTTGTCCGACTTCGTTTATAGTTGTTGTAATTGTATTTCGATCATTTAAGTTTATATTCATTGTTTGTGTAACATTATCAATATTAGGCATTACTGTCTAAAGATGAAAAAAATTATTTTGTTATATGAAAATGGTAAATTTTATTTTTGCATACCGTGTTAGATAATGATATATGTGTGTCGATTGTAGTTGTCAATAAATAAGAGCCATTGAAAAATTTTTTACGAATTTTTGTAATATCATATGCTTTTTGTATTTCAAATACACCTGGTGATAAATCGATTACTAATAAGTAACATGTAGCTGTTTGATCTCCAATTAATATAAATGTTGATGTTCGGGTTATTCCTTTACTTGTATAATTTTCTGATGGTCGAATATCAATTACGGATACACGAATTGTAGTAAGTTCATTACTTGCTAATGCATCTGTTATACATGTAATATTATTTGATGGTGTTTGAAGATAAAAACTGAGATTAATCGATTGATGTTTTGACCATGATTGCATACGAAAAGTTGATGTACCTAGTAAATTACATATTATATGTGATTTCACCAATTTTATTATATAAAATAAATTTTTTGTTTCTTTTAAATAGCTTTTGACTTTTTTTCCCATGGATATAACAAGAAATATTTTATATAAACTATCACAAATCGAAATGTTTTATTTTTATCTTTTTTTTTATTTTATTTGAAAAACAAGTTTAATTAAGCCTTTTTTAATTCTTATGATTGGATAACAACTTTTCCACTTAACATCGTTTATTTATCGATATCGTATATCTACTTATGTGTATTTTGTTAATTCAATATGTATATATAAATAGAGTATGTATTTTTTTTAATAAATATCTAGCAAAACTAATTTTCACACAAACGATTTTATTTTCTATTAGATCATTTTGATATGTACAATATATTTTACTTACCATTGTTACTTTCAAGTGATCCCCATAGTTTTAAACCAGTTTTATTTTTAAATGAATTGTCCAAGGCCAAACCAAGTGGTGTTGATAGAATACCAGCTACGTTACTAAAAACCCAACCGTCAATTGTTTCATTATTTTCAGCTAACATTGTGAACTTCATAAAATATTTTTTTTTTTTATTTTCATTTGATATATTTGTAATATAACCCATTATTGTGTCATTATTCGAATAGTTAATGGCCATTGTTTTAACTAAAAAACTATAATAATTTTTTGTTTTAATTTGAAAATTGTCTTGGAATATTTATTTTTATTATAAAGGATAAGAAGCAGCTATTCTTTTCTTTTCATAACAGAAAGTAAGCAAATATTTCTTTACAGTTATTATTTATTTTTGTGAAAGACGGTATGAAAAAATAGTTTGTTTGTTTTAGGAAGAGTACATTGCATCCGAGAAATGTAATTGTACCTAGACATAGTGAAAATTAATTTTTAGAAATTTCTATTGAATTTTTATAGACTGTATTTTAGAGGACATTTCATTGATTTAAGTTGTTGCACTGATGATAACAAAAGTATCATGAAATTTTTTTTTTTTTTTTTAAAGAGAAATATCACTTACTTGTTGCGTCGAGTGTATAATTTGACGATTAAATGTTGAAGAATTCGCGCGAGTGGCAAGTGAAACTGGTTTAATGAGATTATGTGAATGAATGATTAGAAGAAACGTAACAGAATTTTAATTTGTAGTGGCGGATACATGAGATATACATAGATAGACTTTTTTTTTTTTTTTTTTTTTTTTTTCATTGAGCACTACTACTATATGCATACATAAATAATGTTGTTTTATGAAGATTATAAGAAAAAACAAACAAGTATAATAAGACATAATGAAAAAAAATTAGAAACTAAATTTAAGTGTGAAAATAAAAAGAATTACATTTAAATATAAGTAGTGGAAAAGTTTACATTTTAAAAAATTAAGTTATTAAAATATCTTCAGCCGAAAGAAACGCAGAATTATCATCAAATGATAGAACGCTATCATAATGTAAAATAAAAGGATCGTAACATATATGTAATTGATGCTCAATGAAATCTGATCCAGGAACCAATATAGGTATTTTACCTAATTCATGTATTATAATATTTTTATTTAAAACTACTGCAGTTGCTGAAATTGCTAGATGATCAGCATATGTTGATTTTCGACTCATTCTTGCAATATAGTTCTCTATTGTTGTATATTCTTCATCAATAAAAGACTCGAAATCGTTTGCATTTTCTATGAGATAGCTGATTACTATAGAACGAATATGAACGTGGTCTCTCTCGTGCCTATGAAGTTGATGTGAAATTGCTCGAAAAAAGCAATTTCCATCTCCTAACACATTAATTTTTTTTAAACCAATATTTGCAAGTTGTTCAGATAAACTGAATATATTTGAGAATTTTTCTAATATACTCTTCTCTCTTATATTATTTAAATTTTGAAGAAATATTAATTGTTTTTCTTTGAAACATTTCGTTCTATCTATATCTTTTTTAAAAAGCTTTCTTCTATGATGATGACTGTGTGATTTTTCTGTTGATTTTGCTTTCCGTTTATGAGTTTTTTTCGGAATTTGAGTAACTTCTAAGATTTTTTCAAATAAACTCTCTGTTTCCATTTGGTTTTCAACAATTAATTTGTTGTCTATATTCGTATTTAACATTTTATTTTGAAAATTTATAGACAAAAGTAATGCATCATGAAAGCTGTAGAACGTGCCAACTACACTATGGTATTCATGTTTATTTGATATGAAATTCGAATAGATACAGTCAAGACTAGTTAAGCTATTTGTAGTAGGTAAATCTTTAAACATATTTACAAATCCTAAAATGTTTAATTGTTTTTCAATAGTTTTTGATTTATTAGATAGTGTGTTTTCATTGAAATCGCCAATAAGAATGATATGCTTTTGAATACCAATTTCTTCTAAATAGTGAGTTAGATTAATCAAAAACTCGTTTTTATTTTGTTGTGGTGATCGATAACAAGTAACGATAATAATGTTGTGTTTTTTAGTTTCGAAAGTAATATATTCGAGGTTTAAGTACTTATTTGATTCTACTTCTTTAATAGGAAATGTTTCTCGAAAATATACAGCAATACCGCCACCTTTCTGAGAATTGAGTGGGTGGGTTGTTGAAAATGAAGATAATCTTGATTTATGAATAAGATTATAACCATTAATCTCGAATTTATTCAGATTAGTATTATCACGTAACCATGTTTCTGTTAAACAAATTAAGTCTGCTTTTTCAGTTACATGGTGATTTCTAAGTGCATTAAAATTACATTTTAATCCTTCAATATTATGAAACAAAATATTTACAATCTCAGAACATTCTTGAACTATATATTTTTTTCTTTTTATTTCTTTCATTTGAGAAAGAACTTTATCGATATTTTCGTTGCAGTAGAATTTATTAACATGTAAATCAACAATGAATAAACCTTCTATTGTTCGAACACGTGATAACGCTGTGTAACCCATGCCAGTGCCAAACAAATCTTTTGTACTAATTACAACTTGATCAACTGTTATACCTTGAGCTTTATGTACAGGGTGGTAAATAATATTATTCCAGGGGGGTAACAGTATGATCTCGAATCGGAGATATCATGAATTTTATACCAAATGAAAGCCCGTGAAAAATGGGGTTTAGTGATAGTAAATAGTAAGACTTTGAAGAACTTTCGTGTACCAAATTTTTAAAAACAACGAAATTTTCTTTCAAAAACACGTTAAAAATCATTTTTCATACATTTTGAGACATTGAAAACGAACATTTTTTATGAAAACGAAAGAGAAATGATAACGATGATGATATATGACTATGACTCACACAATAAGATGGTTCTTTGGCGTTCTGTTCTTCTCTCCACGTGATACTAGTTATTTGAAAAATTTTTTCGTTCTCGGACTGTCTGAAAGTTATAGTCGAGTGAAATCTCAGTGTTTTTTCGTTTGTTATTTCAAATGGCTGGCGCTTATGATACCGAACAACAAAGAATGATTGATAGAATTAAATGCATTACTTTCCGAGAAGCTCGTGATGCTGGTGCAACATTTATAAATAGACAATGGATTGCCGACAAAATTCACCGTACGACTCGATTTGTTACAGAATGGTGGGAAAAATCGTGTGACCAATGTTTTGCTGATTATTCGAATGCTGGTCCTAAACTCAAGTTATCGAGAGCTGCTCAGGACATTATTCGTGAAGCAAGTGGTCACCAACGGAAAAGCGGTTCTGTCGTGGCGAAAGAGATTGCAAAGAAACAAAAAGAATATGTTACTCGACAAACAGTTAATAACTACCGTCG